AGTCGACTCGGGATATCAACTCGAGTCGACTGGGTCATCGATATATTGAAGTATACAGGAATCGTCGGAAATCTATGAGCCTCGAGACGTCCTCGGTCGACTCGGGACATCGAGTCGAGTCGACTGTACTATCTTCCGTTGTCAGTAGATCTTGGAAGACCGGAGATATTACAAGTCCGCGGGAAGAGTCGATTTCGGGTAAAACGACTTGATAATATTTGGACCGTTATACGACAGTGTGGCTATATCAATAATATACCAATTATATTAGCAGATTGGGATTGAGTAATTGGTAAATAGTTGTTTGTATATTTGTTTTGAAAATCGTCTTATTTTATGATTTATCTATATCCCAAAAAAACTAATCAAATAATATTTTCAACAAACAAAGTGGTTAATAGATTTAACGAGTCTAATTCAATCTCTAATTAAACATCAATCCACTAATATTCAAATGAATTGTGTTAAACTAATCTTTTAACAGCTTATGTAATTTTAAATTTTTTACATTTATCTTTATTATGTTGATTTAGTCAGGTAATATGTTTGTGTGAGCTGACTTTCGAGAAATAATAATTATTACCATTAATTATATATATATTCTATCGAGTGCCAAAGCACAAAAATATGAGAATGAACATTGCATAGGGATTTGGACGAAATGAACAAGTTAAAATGGGCCTAGCTTAAGTAAAATTGGGCCTGGCATAATGTCACTTGATTCCATAGTATTCTGATGTGGATGGATCTATTTAGGGCCTCTTTAGGCCATGGACATATTCCAGATGGACTTGTTATTCATATTTAACTATTGGGTTTATATTTAAAAGAGCAAAGTTGGAATACTAATTAATTGAGCTTCTTTGCAACTAAGTTATTTTTGGATTCGTATTTAACATGCAAATTGAATATGTTTGGAAAACGAAAAACTCATTTACGGTTTTGGGTTTATTAGACGAGTAAAACTTGAGTGGACCTTTTGTTCGTTTATTACTACCGACTTGTTTATTCGATAAATACAAACTCACATATCAACAACTCAGTTCGACTCGACTCGACTCGAATAACACCCATAAAGAGTTTATAATTTTTTTATATTCAAATAGCTCGTTTTTTTCTATTTAATTCGTGTGATAGATATTTACCAACCATCATATCATTTAATTTATAAATATACCACACAATAGGGTCTTCAACGATCAAGTGCTCTTGTATATATATATAGAGTAATGCTACAGTACATAATAGTGTACATAAGGGAGTACATAATACTCACATTGAGTGAGACCCACCAAACATAAAAAAATCAAGTGGATCCCACACCATGTGAGAGTTATGTACACATTTATGTACATTTATTATGTACATGTAGCATTTTCCATATAGGGTCAAAATCTTTTTCACCCCATTATAAATCTATTCTTTTTTTTACACACCGCCCCATCAAATAACTTCTTTTACACCCCAAAACTCACGAAATACTATGCGATATTACAGTCGCATGTCCAAATGAACCAACGCATATCCAAGCGGACGCATAATTTATGACTATGCGAAAACATTTCGCATTTTCGTAATTGCATATCCACATCAAACGCATAATTTACAAATATGCGAATATTTTTCGCAGTTTTAAGAATCGCATATCAAAATCGAATGCAGCATAATTTACGATGATTATGCACCTTATTTCGCAGGGCTATATCGACCTTGCAAATTTATGACTGTGCGAAAACGTTTCGCATATCATTCGCATTATTTGTTGAATTCGCATTTTCTGGAAATTGCATATCCAAGTCAATCGCATAATTTACTGGTATGCGAAAAACTTTCGCATATATCCGCCGGATAATTGACAATGATGCGACATTTTTTCGCTCGCATATTGAAGAATCGCATAACAAAATCGAATAAAGCATAATTTAATTGACGGTAACGCGCCATTTTTTCGCAGGGCCATATCGTCATGGAAATTTTACGACTATTCAGAATTTAATCGCATATTTGTCGCATAAGTTACGCACCTCATTAATTTACTGCTTTTTCACAGGTGAGGATTTTGTCTGTGCATTTATCATGCAGGCAAAAAAACAGTGATCTCTAACAATTCAATGTCTGCACCATTCTTCTCTACTGCAATTTTCTGTTTCTTTCGTTTTAATTC